AAATAAGTTTCCATTCTCGGCAGGTTTCTAAGGTTCTTCTTCTACATATTAAAAAAAGTTGTTAAACAACTGAGTGGCGCACTACTGATACTAGTGGTGAGAAAGTGTATTGCACCATATTCAAAATCAGTGCTGTCCATCGGCCCAGGCGTTTATGCACTGCAGGGCCGGATCCAGCCCGAGTTCTGGAACCTGGCCAGACAAGGTTCCAATCGGGCCGGCCCAGTTTGACGACTTATTTCTTTTGCTGTGACGAGTCAAAACGAGTCTGGCAAGTCATTAAAAAACATATAGATCTATGAAAAAGCAACTGCTTTCATAACGGTAGCATGTAACAAGCTAATATTGCTAGCTTACTCATCGATGCCGTCTGTGCCTCRCTATAGCTGCTTTCTGTTGCTGTTGTATGGCCAAGTACAGCCTTCGGAAACTCTCCGCTCTTCTGCGCATCACCATTCGTCGTCTCACTCGACATTTAAGGACCGTTATGCGCGCTTTTCCGGTAAACAGGTCCCACCCACTTCGAGGCGGCTCTGATGACAGTGCAAAACATCGAGGGCTGGGCAGAGCTGGACCTAGGCCATCTGGGGGCCGGGGTCGGCCGGGGCCGGCCCTGCAGTGCTTAGCAGCYCAAAGTTAAAAACTATTGTTCTTTTGAGACCCTCAAGGTGGCGCTCGCGGCCCACAATTGGGCCGCAGCCCATGGACTAAGAATCTCTGCTTTAGACTTTATGCAAATGTGCTGCCAGTCCTGCTCTAATGCTGCGTTCACACCGAACGCGATATCAGCTTCAAAATCGCAGCCAACGCTGAAGTTTGAAGCTTGTGCACTTTGAGGTCAGACGCAGGTCAGCTCTTGAAGCGCTGCACGGCAGAGCCTCCCCGCCCCTCCCTCCTCTGTCAGGCTCTGTTTAATGTCAGACGAGGAAGTGGCTTTGCTTTATTTACAGAGAGCAAGTGCATGTCACATTCATCAGATAACTAATTCATAATTAATTCACCAGATAATTCAGAGAAGAGGCTCACAGCTCGCTTTCAGGACTATTTTTCCAGTCTGATGAGTCGCTGTCACGCATTGCTGCGGATCAGGACACGACTGCAG